TGTCTCAAAAAAAAAAAAAAAAGACAATTATCTAATTTGTTTTGCCCTCTTCCAGACATTTATAAAGGCTTTTAACCTAGATAGTGTGTGTCTAGGAATAGAGTGGAGAACTAATATGCAGAATCTACCTGAGCAAACAGAAAACAATGGTTGTTAATAAAACTCTCCCCATATATCTGCTAATATTCTGGAAAGATAATGAGTCACTTTATGAATTGTGTGACCAAACTGCTCAGTGTTATATCCATGAACACTGTATGATAAAAGCATGAAAAAACGGAATGCCTATAACTAATTTCTGCTTAACAATAAGAACATTTCATTCATGTGATATTTTATCTTCTAGTCTCAATCATAGTGGATACAAATTACTATGGTTTTACTATTTCTTCACTTTAGAAATTTCCTTCTGCTTCAACCTTTATAAGATACTACTTTAAAAAATCTCTGTGAGCTGGGCTAAAAGCTGATGAAGAATCTATCCAGCTTGCTTAGTTAAACAAGAAGCACAAGGAAAGGCATGCATTATCTTTAGTTTACATGGATAACTGTTAAGGCCAATATTCTTTTTTTATTTAGGGTGGGGGGTTGTGAGGAGAGGTGTTCAGCTGCCTTGTTTTTGTTGTTGTTGTTGAGACAGTATCTCACTCTGTCGCCCTGGGTAGAGTGCAGTGGCATCATTGTAGCTGACTGCAACCTCCAACTCCTGGGCTCTAAGCAATCCTTCTGCCTCAGTTTCCCGGATAGCTGGGACTACAGGTGCATGCTGCAACACCTGGCTGAGTTTTTTTTCTTCTTTCTATTTGGTAGAGACGGGATCTCACTCTTGCTCAGGCTAGTCTAGAACTTCTGAGCTCAACTGATCCACCCGCCTCAGCCTCCCAGAGTGCTAGGATTACAGGCATGAGCCATCACGCCCAACCCACGCCAATATTCTTTAAAACACATCAACAGGCTGGGCACGGTGGCTCATGCCTGTAATCCCAGCACTCTGGGAGGCCTAGGCGGGTGGATCGTTTGAGCTCAGGAGTTTGAGACCAGCCTGAGCAACAGCGATACCCTGTCTCTACTAAAAAAAATAGAAAGAAATTAGCTGGA